TTATTGATGTTGATATAACTAAATCGTATTTATTGAAGCACTACAACTACAAACGGACTGTGAAGTCGAATGGTCGCCTGCCATAGGTTTTTGCAGATGAATAAATGTTAGTAACTTTATTGGAGTTGCACGAACTGAACGAAACCCTACATGGAGGGAGAAAGATATCATAATAACCAAAATACTTCATCACCAAATAGGTCCGCCATGTTTGTTTCTAACAACAGAAATAAAATGAAGACAAGACAAAGTCAACTTGTTACCAACGAGAACTTGAAGAAATACATGTAAGATATCATAGGACAACTGGACGACAAATTAATCAAAAGTCTCGGTAATGTAGAACTTTCTATAAATAACATCAATAAGGAAATAGGCTGTGTAAAAGACGATCTGAATTCTACTAAAACAAGAAATAAATGGAACTATAAGTGCTTTGAAATTTCATAATGATAAATTGACTGAGCTAGAAAAATGTACAGATGAACAATCAGATCTATACAAAAAACTATTGTCTGAGCAAAGTAAAAAGTTTTTTGATTTTTTCTTATTATTTCTATGAGAATTGGAATAGCAGCTTCAAAATAGTACTGATAGTCTTAGAATGTCTTTGCCTTGATAAAAATATAAACATGAGCACATTATGTCTTCAAAATTTGTTTTTACAGAGGACAACTTTTTTGGGTTGAAATTTCTAGGAGAGAAATGTGTTTTGTTTCAATGTAAACTTACAAAAGATTATATTTTTATTAACGCAAAAACTTTCTCAGACTAACAGTACTATTTTGAGGTTGATATTCCAATTCTCTTGAAAAATATCGAAAAATTTCAAAAAACTTTTTAAGTTACACAGACAATAGAGAGACGTATTGCTTATTTGGAAGAAAAAAAACAGTGTACTAGAGTCACGTGTCACAAATACAGACGACAAGTCACTTTACTTGGAGTCTAGAAGCAGACGTTATAATATTCTCTATGGATTTGAAAAGGTAAACAATGAAAATGTTGAAAAGATTGTTAAAGATTATTTACTCAATGAACTAAAACTATCAAAAACATTTATAGACTCAATAATTGTGTGAATACCTAAAAATCTAAACTCGAAAAATCAGGAGCAATCCTTGTGAAGTTTTCGCACCTCTCAGATAGAAATCAGATTCTATCAAGTAGCTATGGTCATACCCTTCCCCGGGGTAAATCAATAAGGACAGACCTTCCAGCTGTGATAAAAAAGGAATTTTAGCAGAAAAAGCATTGCGCAGTAGAGATAGGATTTATACAAGAATTATAGAAAAGTATAATAGGGTGTGGTTAGAAACTCGTGAAAATAAAGATAATCCATGGAAAACCTCCAGTAAAACATAACTAACAATTTCCTTAATTTTAAAAATTGGTACAATTTTAGTACAGTCAAGTGAACAATTATTATATTTCTACTTTGTGTGACAACCAAACTTTAATATGCAGTGCAGCATTAGTATATTTCAGGCATTCTCACTAATTATACAATGTTTATCTTTCATTAGAACTCTGAGTTTACTTCCTTTTACAGTTGGCTTATCTTCTGCAAGAGATAGTTGTTAGTTACTTATACATAGTTAGTAAATAGCTGGTGAGTTCATACTCTAATTATGTAAGTAAGAAGTTTTGTTTACACTTATACTTTGATCTCACAATATATAACTGTGCCATGATAAACTGTGCTTGATGAATTCTCTTACTACCAACCCGAGGTTCAGTGAGGATATAACTCTCATACAACCAGGTAACAATAACTTCCAAGTTGACATTACTTATATTTGCTTGAATTAGATTATTTAGATGGAAGCTCANA